TGGGTGGGATTCAAAACGGGGACCCCCCCCCTCCCGGTGCTCCAAGACAGAAGTACCAACCACGGTGCTGCCCCTATGACCCGTATCCCAAAGAAGGATCCTCTACATGCAGAGCTGCCTTACTTTTCAGAGAACCTTCGCGTGCTGTTCTGAAGGACCTGAGAAGCCCCTCAAACCGCCTCTCTAAAGTCCGTCACTGAATGGCTGCCCCCACCGGGGTTATTGATTGGGGTGTTATAGAAAGCGGGGGATGGGGGGGTCACATTGACGTGTTGCCATTGGCTCTGCCAGTCTGTCCATATTTTCTATTTCTTGACCCGCCGCCAATGGCCCACGCGTTCCTTACATTGCAAAGAGCGGGGGTCTGGTCTTCTGGGGGCGACGCTTCTCCCTGCTGCCAATTGTCATACAATTTCTGGCGAATCTCATGGTGCTTCCTATATGAACTGATGGGGGTAAGCCCAGGTGGGTGTTTGGGGGAGGGGGGCCAAGGGCATAGTGGCTGAGGTGGAGGAATAGCTCCTCTATGAAAGCTTCATTCCCGAATAAAACATCTAAGGACTCAGCTATGGAGGTGTATCATACCATATATAAGACCTCGGCCTCCGCTCTATGTCCTTTACTCGGGTTCCCGGAGAACCGGCTGATACTACGTTGTGTTCTGTAGGAAGATCCTCCTCTGTTCTTGGAAGTAAACTCAGTTTTCCAGTTGGGATCACGTCCTAGGGTATGGAAGGTCCATCTCTGTCTCCGTAACTTCCCGGGTAATGAGGGGCCACCTTCTTGGCACACAACCAGGTCCAGGTGGTTGAAAGGAACTTCTCATAACCCATGAGGAGACATTTCAAGGTCCAATTTGTTCTAGAACATGGCCTTGTGCATGGAGTGACCACCAGACGTGCTCAGCACCGTGGCGGGCACCAAACCGCCTATATAGAGTGGACTTCTGCATGGGTTGCCGAGTGGTCTTCAACTAGCCCTTGTTCACCTGGATCTGTGTATGACCCGACCTGCCTCGGGACCTTTGTCTACCCATTGTGACCTAGACCTGCCTATTTGACCCCACTTACTGCCTTCTACCTTCTGCTCCCTGGCTGTTATGGACCTTCACTTGAGTTTTCCCGCCTGTTACTGACCGTGAGTCTTTGACGTGGTTCCTTCCTACTGATTTAGCACTCTACTGCCCCGGCTCTTACAAACCTCCCGCTTTCCCAATGGGTACCCGGCTGCCCGTGTGTTACTGGCCTCAGCTTGTATCTTAGTCTAGGTTCTGGTCACCTGCTCCGGTACCACAGTGTTTCTGTGTCTGGATCCTGTCCAGTGGACTCGAGTCACCTGGTCCACGCACCCTACAGTCACCATGGATCTGATATTGCCTGCAACACCAATACTTGTGCCGCTCCGTGTCCTCACACTGCCCACCTCCAGGGTTGTTGTACTGGAGGAGTACTTGAAGAACCTTCATCTTGCCTTGTGATCTGCCTCTGGACCTTTGCTTACCCATCGGGACCTTGGCCCGCCTATGGAACTCTGCTCACCGTCTTGTATCTCTGTGGTGCTTCTGCTGCCCAGATGTTGGCTTGTCTCCTCAACTCTGCTCCTGCCTACTGCATTGGTACCCCACTACCTGGTTCTTACCGACCCTGTCTTCTATCTAGAGCACTTTCTCTGGTACCACGGCGTTCCATGCACCCGGCTCCTTCCCAGTGGTCTTCAGCCGTTTGGCTCAGGCGCCTGACAGCCACCATAGAGTCGGTGCTGTCCCCACACGTCTCTGTTACCACTTCCACAGTTGTTGGACAGGAGACCCCCTTGTCAGGGTACATCGGTCAGCACCCATAGTACAGCTTCTGCCCCGGATGGCTGCACGAAACTATACGCATGCGCGTATTCGGTGCTAGTCGTGCGCATGCGGAAAAACGAGGTGCACGCATTTGTCCTTGGCGCCAGGCGGGCTATTTAAAGATGGCTCCTGCATCTGCACCTTGCCGATAGACCTGCATCTGTGATTTCTGTTCCTGATATCTGTTTGACCCGGCTTGGTTCCTGACTCTGCCTGCTTGTGACCTCGGCTGGTCCCGGACCATTCTTCTGCCTGGTACCAGGTATCAGGATCCGGTACCATTCTGCTCGCAAGTGTATGACCCGGCCTGTTCCCGACTCTGACCGCACGTTGCCGATCCGGCTTGTCCCCGACTACGCTTCAGCTCCTCACACCATTGTCCTCTGATCTGCCACCTGTTGTCACCATCGGCGTGTCCAGCCAGCCGCAGGCCCTGGTGCCACCTCTCCGTCTGTGCAACTACCGTTCCATCTCCAGTGGGGCTTAGACGAGAGCGGCAAGTGAAGACCTTCCTCGTCACTTCAGGCTCACACCCCTCAATCAACTTGGTCTCCACCAGGAACATGGCGGCAAGCCTCTCGGACAACGTGTCCCCTGTAAGAGAGGTCATGACTACTCACCTGGCCGGCCGTCTGTGCAGGACACAATAGGGGCCGGTGGGAGGAACCACGGAGAAGAACCAGGAACCGGACACTCCCAGGTTAGATTTTGAGGGGTCTTCAAGAGGTGCCGATAACGAAGAGTAATGAGAATGTGGAGTCGTAGTGACCGGAACCCCCGCCCCTCCCCCACCAACCAAAAAACAATTCAGATCTTCAGACGGAACGTTCAGCTGCAGACACCAAGCAGGTGGTCGTAAATCACATTCCAACCTTCCAGTCGCGGCATCGGTGATCAGACGCTCAGCCATAAACCCACCAAAAGGAGTCGCGGCATCGGCGACTGGACGCTCGGCAATAAACCCACCAAAACGAGTCGCGGCATCGGCGATCGGCAATAAACCCACCAAAACGAGTCGCGGCATCGGCGACCGGACGCTCGGCCATAAACCCACCAAAACGAGTCTTAGCATCGGTGACCGGACGCTCGGCAATAAACCCACCAAAACGAGTCGCGGCATCGGCGACCGGACGCTCGGCAATAAACCCACCAAAACGAGTCGCGGCATCGGTGACCGGACGCTCGGCAATAAACCCACCAAAACGAGTCGCGGCATCGG